TTTTCTCTTGCTACTCTGTCCTGAACCCAGGTCAATAGGACCTTTGACCTCATCACTCCACTGAAACAACTCTTGCCAAAGTCAGAAATGTGCTTCTTTTTGCCAAATAGAAGGGTGAATTTTTAGTTCCCATTGTACTTATCTATGAATAGCAACTGACGCAGCTTTTCACTCCTCCTTTCTTAAGATACTTCCTCTGTTTGGTTTACATAACCACCATTCCCTCCTCTACCTCACCAGCCTCTCGTTATCAATCAGTTGATTCCTCCTAACCCATGCACCACCTGGGAATGCACCTGACCACTTCTTTACCTTCACTCATTCCCTAAGTGATTTCATCTAACTTCATAGCTTTAAATACCATACGTGCCAGCAGTTCTCAAATTTATATCTCTAGCCTGGAAATATTTCTCCTTTAAATCCAGACTCACACGCCCAAATGCCTAACTTGACACTGTCACACAGATGTCCAATAAACAACTCCAACTTAACTTGTCTTAAACTGAATTCTTCATTCCACTCCAACCTGCAATTCCAACTCTCTTCCCCAACTCAGGAAATGGCAACTCCATTCATCCATATTTTCAGGCCCAAACCTTGGGTAATCTTTGAGTTCTCTCTCTTCTACTCAGAATCACTTGCCACCTCTACTACTCCCCACTCTAGTCCAGGTTCACATCACGGTTCACTACATCACTGCAATAGCCTGCCAACGGGCTCTCTGCTTGCACCCTGTATGGTCTATTCTCCATAAGGCAATCCCTGTGCTCATTTTAATATTTAACTCAGATCATATCATTCTTCTGCTCCCAAAGCTCCCATGGTTTCCCACCCATGAACACTGAAATCTAAAGTCTTCTCTCCAGGCTACACGGCCCTACATGATTCAGCCCCTGCTAACTCTCTGACGTTATCCCCTACCACTCTGGTCACACTAGTTCCCTGGCTGTTTTCATAACTGCTTGTAACATGCTTCCTGCTCAGAATCTTTGCAATCACTATTTGCTTGGCCTGGAACTCTCTTTCTCCAAACAACCTCATGGCTTGATTCTTCGCTTCCATCAGGATCTGCTCAGATATCAGTTTATTTAGAGAGGCCTTCTGTGGTAGACAGAATTCTACGATGGCCTCCAATATTCCTGTCCCCTGGTGTACATGCCCTGCATAATCCTCTCCCCTGAGTATGAATGGGACCTTTAAATATGATGGGCTGCCACTCCTATGATTATGTTATGTTATATAGGAAAGGTTAAGGGATCTTGCTGATATAATTAAAGTTCCAAATCAGTTGATTTGGACTTAATTAAAATGGAAATTATCCTAGATGGGACTGGTCTAATCAGGTGAAAAATGTTTAAAAGAAGGACCCAGCCCTCAGAGGGGAGAGGAGACGGACTCCTGCTGCCCTTAAAAAAAGCAAAGTCATGCTGTGAACTGTCTATGGAGTGGAGTGGCCTGTGGAAGCTGAAGGCCTCAGCCCACAACTGCAAGGAACTGAATTCTGCCAACACTCAAATGAACTTGGAAGAAGACTTCAAGCTCCAGATGAACAGGCCTTAATTGCAGCCTTGTGAGGCACAGCAGAGAACCCATCCAAGCTGTGCCCAGACTTCTGACCTACAGAAACTGTGAGATAATAAGTGGTGTTGTTTTAAGACACCAATTTTGTAGTAACTTGTTACAAAGCGCAGAAAACTAACATTCCTTCCTTAATATAGATCAGCACCGACCATACTTTGCATCCTCCTGGCACAGGTTTTCCTTCAGAGAACTTGCCATACCATATAAGCAACAGGAATTGAATTGTTCTTCTCCCTGCCTCTAGAATGGAAGCCCCAGGAAGGCAAGAAATTTGCCCTTTTTTTCCCTCTGTTGCATCACAGCACCTAGCACAGTGCTGTGCACACAGCAGGTGCTCCATAAATATTTAGAGAATGAATCAATGTATTTGCTGTTGACATTTACATCAGCACAGAGTGATCACAAAAATTTAATTAAAGCATTTAAGTTTTAACTTTCAAAGGCAATTACTCAAATTAAAGTTACAAGGATCACCTTTCGGGGAGCCCAACAATATATTCTGAGAGATTTAAGAATTCTTAAATATGAAAAACACTAGTTTAAACAAGTACCTTGTAAACATTTAGGAAAAAAACGTATACAAACAACTAGGCATCAACATATGTTCACTAAAAATAAGTTATACTAAAATTCATTTCCATTTTTGGAGAGTGTTTCTAGGTGGCTAGATTCTGGGAAAGACAATATATGTCTTAATTTCAGCACTCTTTTAATGGATCCTTTTACAATAGCCCTCTGAATAGTTAGTTAAACATCCATTAAAAGGCAGTAAAGGCAATAGGATTTGTTTCTGGTTGAGCAACTATACCAAAATATACTAGTTAATGATCAAAAGCATTCAGAAAGTGAGCAGTTTCTAACAGATGCCAGAAGGCTCTGTCCTACTTGAACTGTTGAACATGTTAATCAAGGTTTTGGACAAAGAGATAGATTCATCAGATTGGCAAGAGACGTATATGCAAACATTGTGACTAATAAGACACATTGACGATCATGACTGAAATGTATAGTGGGCAAGCAATGAGTCAAAACCAACAGGTTCATTATTATAGCGGTAAATGCTAAGACATAGAGAGTTTTAAAACACAAGTTGCAGTTCAGAATTAGGCTTGGTAGCCCTACAAATGGAAAAAACAAAATCAGAGGTTTTATTTGACTGTTGGGTCATGCCAATTTCATCACCAAGGTACACGGATATGTCAAAAGGCAGTGAAAACTTGGGCTGATGTAGGAAAAATATAGAGGATGAACTACAAAAATCACATGATCTTACTACTGTACTCCAGCCTGTTCAGACCACAGCTGAAGTTCTACATTTAAATACGGATGCTACACTTAAAAGGGGCAATATTAAACTAGAAAATAATTCCAGGAAAAGAGTTCTGAGGTCAAATAGGTTTTACCATAAACAAAGTTAAACAAATTCCTTTCCTGCAGAACTTCTTAGAACCTTTAATGTGACTTCCAAAAAAGGTGAGAGTGTGTGTGTGTGTATACACAAAAGATGATGAAATAGATGAATACTATGAATGGTTTAACTTATTTGACCATGGAACTCTTTCTTCATGGAGCATCCTGTGGGACTAATGATCTAAGCCACAAACTGAGGAAAACAACCACCTAGACTGTGAGGAAAAAGGTAAGAAGAGCAGGCTAAATGTCAATAAAGTGAACAACCAGGATCGTGAGGGGGAGATAGAATTATATTATGAGAAATAAGGCTAAAGTTACTTGCACTGTTTTGCCTAGCAAAAGAGAAGAACAAACCTTGTAAATATACAAATGGCCTTCGGAAAATGAGGGGATGCATATGTTCTACATTGTTCTATTACCTTGAGCAAAACAACATTTGTCAGTAAGGCTCAGAAATACGCATTTTAACACATTCTTCAGGAGACTTTTCCAGAAAGCCTGATATTTGCTGTAGGAGCCAGAACTTGAGCCCACAGGAGCTCCGAACAGGAAGATCAGTTGAATCTTCAGGAGAAGATGAACCATAACAATTCAAGCGTTTCAGTATCATACGGGTGGATCATGGAAAAAGCATGGGCTGAAGTATGCGCGGAGGCTGAGTAAATGTCCAGCAGGGACACTAGAAAGACTCATGCATATATAAAGCAGGAGATTGGATGACTGGATCCTAAAGGTCACTTCCAACTCTGCAGGCTCAGTGGGTTAGACTGCAGCCTCTGTAGGGCCCCTCACCCTGCATCTCAGTGACAAACGCTGGGCCTGGCACAGAGGGGGTTTCTCATAAATATTGGTGGAATGAATGAATACATGAACAAGGGAAAAATAAATGAAAGGAGTACCTGGTTCCAAAGTTAAACAAAAAGGGAATGGGTTATTTCATTCTTTGGAGATTGCCAAATACACGAATTATGAATCATAATCAAGGCTACTTTCAAATATAAGGAATTGTAATAATTTCACTTCCTGACTGGGAAATCAACTCTGTATTAAATCAGACCCAGGGTCGTTGTGAGGGTCCCCTGGTAAGTATGTGAAAATGCAGGCAGATTGTAAATGCCCATCAGACGTAGGGGGTGATTACGACGACGATAATCGACCCTGACAGACTATGATAACTCAGAGGGCTGGAAACTAACCTTGAAAATGAATCCTCTTTTAATAGCCACAGCTCTGAAAATGGCCCATTAGCCATGTGTTTTATTGGTTCAATTGTCAAAAGAGAACATATATATAACTTATTCTAAAACACTTTCAAAAACGTGATGGTATTCTGATTGACCTAGTAAATTCAGCTATCTACAATTAAGTTTCAGCAAATTTCTTTTGTCTTGAGATACCAAATTCTTAACACAGCATACATTAAGATGGACCTTAAAATTAAAAAATACTTGAAGCTGAAAGAGCTTTCATTCACTAGATACAAAGACAATACTGCCAGGCACCATATTTGTATCCATTTCCTCGAAGATTGAGGGTTCTTTCAAAATAAATCTGTCATTTTCCCACAGTGGCTGATCAAACCTGCTGCTGAAAAATGTTCTGAACAGGCAACTTCTAGTACAAGCATGGTTTATTTCTGTCAGAGACTGACTGCTGAAGTGTGAAAGGAACTCATTAAAAATCTCTTACTGTGATCTTACATTGTAAAAAAAGAAAAAAAAAAACAAAAGAAAAGAAAAACCCAAGAAAGAAAAGGCAAGGAAAAAAAAAACTTAATAAGGGTACACTGAGCATGCAGACACCCTCATATGCTGCTTTTCTTTCTTATTCTTTAGAAAGCAATTAGAAGAGAGCAATTAGTCCTGGGAATACAGCATACACTGGCTGTTTGGGGAAATCAGATAAGTTAACAATTTTATTTTATGCTAATGTTATGAAAAGTCAATGAAGGACATCAGAATATTGTACTAGGGGAAAAACGATGCAAAATAAACAAGATTATTTACCTTAATCTTAAAACGAGGTTCACAGCGCAAGAAGCTTCTCTATAGTCTTCACTAGCATTGGGTAGGCCCTTTAAAAACAAAACAGCCAACAGGGTTATAAACTCAGGAAACAAATGAATAAAATCATATCCTTGATTCATGCAGCCTTTTCTTTCTGGAAATTTCAAAACGAGGTCTTTACACGTGCAGGTCTTATTTGGCCGCATAACACCTCTGCATGAAGGTTGGAACAATGCCTGATTCCCGTCACAACCGTGGATATGAATGTTTCCTATAGAAAGCCTCAGTCGTAGGGTGGGCTCTATGAACAACTGGTACAAGCTGTAGTAGGTCCAAAGAAGACGGGTCAGTCAGCTAACGGGGCACCTTGCAACCTGAGCTGTGGACTGTGCCCCCTGGGCCTGGGTGACGCACAAATGTTGGACACCTGAGACCTCAGGATGCAGAGGAAGGTGAAACCCAGTAGATTAGGCCACTTGTTGTCTTTCCTGCCTTTCTCACCTAGAGCCCACTTCCTTGAATACAGATCATTAACCACTAACGCCTCTACTCCGGCCCCTCCCTACTCCTACGAATCCCTAAATATGAGTAGACCTTCCTGTTCAAGGAGAAAAATAAAGGATTTCAGGTCAAGACTTGGCTCTGCCACTGATCAGCTATGCAACCATGGACAAGTTATTCTCTGAACCTACTTTCCCATTTACAAAAATGGGGATAATACCTCCTCCAAAAGGTTGCTGGGAGAACAAAATAATATACACAAAAATGAGCCATTAATCACAACATGTTATTCAATACTATTTATCCTAATCCCTTTTCCTTTTTCCTTTACTCTCTTTGCCCTCTGACCCATTATTACTCCTAACTTGACCTTTATCATTTAACCAATCCCTACAGTTTATCTCAAGGCGTTTTACTGAAGTGCCTGATACAGCATGAAGACCTAAACTGACCCCTGCCTCTGCCTCTAACCACTTGTGCCAGCCACTCAACCTCGCCAAACCTTTGCTTCCTCAGCTGTAAAATACAGACCAAGGACTAAATATCTGACCTCAAACAGTCTTCCTGCAACCATGAAACCCCATCACTCTATCTCCTCGGTATACAGCTGTTTCATAAAACACAGATCAGGCAGGATAAAAAATGAACTTAAATAGATTATGCAGATTTTAGGGAAAAAAATTGTAATCCCAAGGTTGGTGACACTTAATAGAAATAAGGACCTTGAGAGCAGAGGGCCTGCCTATTAATTATACAGCAAAACCAGAAAGGGGGTCTGTACTCAGCTCTACGTCTCCGGTCCCTCCCCTGGGTCGCTCATCACCCTTCATCAGCACCCAACACGACTCATGGCACAAGTCTTCTGTCATATAACTTTTAATATAAATGCATTTCACAGTCACTGAACTATTATTTCTACAAGGCAAGTTGTAGAGATAAATGGGCCCATAAAATTCAATGGGAAAAGAATTATGAAAACAGTTTAGAGAAATCCAATCAGAAGCGAAAAAGAAAAGTATCAATTAACTACAACGCTTTGTGGCTGGAATCTAATAGAATGGTGAGTGAGTTTCTTTGCTTTTCTTATTTCACACAGTACCAGCAGTTTCAGAAGCAGTACGGTGATCAATTCTCACTCTTAAACCCATCATTTAAAGCTGGGGGTCTTGAAAATCACGGTCAATAATAACATTACTCATTTCTCCATACCCATTAAAAAAGAGAGCTTAAAAACTCTGATCTGGGGGCACTACCCTGAAAGTGTCTCTCTTTCTGAAATGTTGGATTTTCTAAAATTCTGTCTACAAGGCATCTCAAATGTAAATGACTGGCAGAGAAACATACCTGAGAGTCCTGCACGGAAAGGGACTGTATTTGCTCTGGTAGACTGCTGGCATTCACCGCAATCTGTTAAGAGAGCCACCGTTACAGCACTTAAGGAACTAAAATGAGACATCCAGGTCAGAGTGGTTACAGTAAGTCCCAATTACCAGAGAAAAAAATTCCAAATAATTTATTTTAAAGCAGTATTTCCAAAAGTGTGGTCCTTTGACTACCTGCATCAGAAGCACCTTAGACACATGTTAAAGATTCCTGGGTCCCTCCCAGCCCATAATGCAGAATTTCATGGAGACAGGAGAGAATCTGTATCTTTCATAAGTGCCCCGGGTGATCCTTATGCTTTTAGAGAACCACTGAGCTAAAGTGAAAAGGCATGGGCTATTTGATATTTTAAATCTGATAACAGAAAGATGCCTGAGGACCAGTTTTTCTTGTCACATGATTTCACCTAAAGTTAAGGGCTCCTTAATGAAAGGATGCTAGGGTTAAGTAAGACCTTCCCATTTAATCATTACTTTGAACAATTTATTCACTGGATTTCAAAAATATATAAGGGTAGCGGATTTTTAAAACACATTTTCCCCAAAAGAAAAGCCAGAGTGATGGGTTAGATTTTTTCTCTCAAAGTTGGAAACTCGACCGTAATGATACCCAACATATTTTTGCTTCAAGCCCTACTTTTGTGAACTCTGTCCTGGAACAAAACTTGAAAGACAAAAAAAGTCCAAGAGAAACAGCAATGAAACAGAACAAAAAGGAGTTCCCATTTCTAAACGTACTATTATTAATTCTAATATAATCAGAAATCATCAGAAATTCTTTGTGGCAAGCGTTTCTAAAAAGAGAGCTTAAAGAAGAGAGCTTACAAACTCTGATCTGGGGGCACTACCCTGAAAGTGTCTCTCTTTCTGAAATGTTGGATTTTCTAAAATTCTGTCTACAAGGCATCTCAAATGTAAATGACTGGCAGAGAAACATACCTGAATTTTAAGAGCATAAAATTCTTACTCTCTGTGATTCCTCAAAAATAACTATCTTAGTAATGAAGTAAAAGGGGGAAGTGTACAGATGTCTATAATTTACTGAAATCCATCAAAAAATGAAGATGGATTGACAGATGAGTAGATGCATGAGCATGTGGTAAAGCAAGTACAGCAATGACAAGATCTAATGATAGGTATGTAGGTGTTCACTATAAAATGCTTTTAATGTTGTTATGTTTCTGAAAATTTTCATAATAAAATGTTGGGGGGGAAATGACTATGTTAGAAGAACAAACAACCTATATTCATTAACAAGCAGGAAAGCCTGGGCCTACCCAAATGATCTCTTGTAAAGAATCTTTCAGGCTGATCTCACAATCTTAATTAAGGTTTGAGATACAACCAAAAGCCACATCAGCACTTACAGAATATCCTACCTTTAGTCAAAGAACCATTGTAATCTGAAAAACCTTAAAGACATTTACAAGAGGTGACAAGTTCTCTTTCCCCTGGGGAGGCGATCATCATGATGGAAGAGCTAGTGAACCGGACTGGAGGCTGGAACCCCATGCAAACCATGCAGCCTCCTGTGTAGGTAGAAGCCTGCATGTAACAAAGGGACCAGCTTCCACCCTCACGTGAGTTCCAATTTTTCATAGAGCTCTGCCTAATCTTTTCATTTTTTTTTAATGAGTTTGAGGAACATGCAACACGATGTGGATCAGTCATCAAGGAAGTTCCTTTTATTTATTTAGTTTTTGAAGATTGGCCCTGAGCTAACATATGTGGCCAATCATTTTTTTTTTAACTGTTTTTTTTCTTCTTCTTCTCCTCAAAGCCCTCCAGTACACAGCTGTATATTCTAACTGTAGGCCCTTCTAGTTTTGCTATGTAGGACACCACCTCAGCATGGCTTGAGGAGCGGTGCTTGGTCCATGCCCAGGATCCAAACCAGTGAAAACTCTGGGCCGCCAAAGCAGAGCGTGCAAATTTTACCACTCGGCCACAGGACCAGCCCCTCATTTTCTATTTTTAAAACTACTGCGGCTAAATGTAATATGTTGTCCCGTATTGGATCCTGGAATAGAAAAAGGATGTTAGTGGACAAACTAGTGAAATATGAATAAAGTCTGAGGTTTAGTTGATAGTAATGTAGCATCATTGGTTTCTTAGTTGTGACAAACATACCAGGGCTACATAAGAAATGTGGAGCAACCGGGTGAGGGGCGGATGGGAACTCTGCACTGTCTTTGCCACTCTTTTATAAATCTAAGATTATTCCAAAATAAAAGGTTTATTTTCAGAAATATGGAAGATTTCAGATCACAAATCTAACTTTTATCACAACTAGTCAGAAAGCTAGTCACCTGCAATGAGAACACCTCTTAGAAAGTGGTATCTTAAAAGTATCGTTAAAGCCGTCTGTGATGACTAAGGCTAAGTTTAATAAATTTGGAGGGAGACATCAAAGCTTTCCCTCCATCTATGAACATGTCTTTGGAAAACAAGATGTCATCAGAAATAATTTATAAAAGCTAAAGGCAGTTTTAACAATCATCAGGCAACAGCAACGAGAAACATAAGCAATAAATTTAACTTTCACACTGTGTCTAATCTCTGGTAAAAGTAACTCAACCTAAATCCACACTAAACTTATTTTCTCCTCAGAACAAAATATCAGTTTGGAAACATTTGCACAATTAACCTAGCCTAGACTCTACAACAAAATTCTTCAGCATTCCTCTTGTGGGGCCTATGGGACTTCAGTCAATAAACCTTCTTTCCTGGCTTCCTTATACTTGATTAAATAAGGAGAACTTTTCCAAGGGATTTCTGAAAGATCTTTCTTAGTTGTCTTCTTCTTCTTTTGAGATTTCTAATGTAGATATTTAAAACCAATCTTCAGGAATTTTGAGCACCCACTCTTCCTGGATTCCAATCTGGACTTCTGGATTCAGAATGATCGGTGTGGTTTTTCTAGTCAATGGTCCTTGATCCTAGCGACGTTATCAGAATCGTGTGAGCAGCTTTTTGAAAATCAAGAGTTGTCTGGACAACACCTCAAACTACCACATCATAATTTAAGGGCTGGGTCTGGGCATCTGCATTTTTAAAGTTTTTGGGTTTTCTCACATGGAGCCAGGGCTGCAAATCGTTTGTTTTCAGGCACCTAATGGAGGGGCTGCCACACAAAGAGTGCTTCTTTAACAGAAGCCTTAGCAAATGTCCTCCTCGGTTAAATGGAACCCAAAGAAAATGTAAATTTAAAGATAAAATCAATTTTACTTTCATATAAAAAATTAGGGTATAAAGCAAAATTGACAAAACAAATTATAAAATATATACTGATTATTTCAGAGCCTGACAAAAAGAGATTCCAAAATCACCAGTCAAAAAGATCAATAATGGGGGACCAGCCCGGTGGCATAGCAATTAAGCTCCTGTGTTCTGTTTCGGCCCCCTGGGGTTCATCAGTTTGGATCCCAGGCGCAGACCTATGCAGCAATTATCAAACCATGCTGTGGCAGATGTCCCACATATGAAAAAAATAGACGAAGATGGGCACAGATGTTAGCTCAGGGCCAATCTTCCTCAGCAAAGAGAGGAGGATTGGTGGTAGATGTTAGCTCAGGGCTAATCTTCCTCAACCAAAAGACAAAACAGATGAATAATGGCATAATAGTTTAAAGGTTTTATATAAACTAGGGTACTATATAAGCTGAGAAATCCCACCTAAGGAAGCCAGTTCTTACAAATACCACCCCCAATCCCCATTCCTAAAGAGATGAGAAGCTTCTAGAGAGCAGCCTCTCTTCTTTGCTTTTGTATAATTCCAACAATGCCACAATGCCTAACACAGATCCATATAGAAATCAGGCCCAGATTAAATATTTGTTCACTTAACTAACTACTTTATTAATATTACTGTTGTATTATTAACCTTTAGTCCCACTGGCTTCTACCATCCAAGCAGAATAAGATAATAAATAAAATGAGCTTGAATTATCTACTTATTTATAAACTATTAATTACTAGTAAGTGACCAATACTTTGCAAGGCTATTTCCAAAAATTTAGATTAAGAATACAGGAGGACCAATTTTTCAATGAGTTTGGCTATGAATCTCAAGATAAGTGGTGCAACTCCGGAACTCTACAGTTTACATTGGAAATTCTCTTGGACTTTGAAGGATCTGCAAGTACGGCCCAGTACCAAGCACATGGACCCAAGGTCGCTCTGAGAAACACCACACCCCTGGCGGTCTCGATCTTCTCTAACTAATGCTGTAATTACTGGATCTTCTGCCTTACACTTCCCAGGAAGCCAAACAGCCTCTCACGAATTAAGCATTTCTAAAATAACCCTCCTTTATTGAGGCATCTTACTCTGTCTAAACGTGGAACTACTAAGGCTACTTTTTCTGAACTTCAACTCAATTATATAACGTCTTCTGATCTTTTCCCCAACTCTGATACGTTCATAAATACGATATGTCTATTCAGGCACTTGTTTAATGTCAGCATTTCAGTGTGTGGGTATTCACGTCACCAACAACCGTGTACTACAGAGTGTCTATTCGATGCAACAGGAATACAAACATGAAGAAAATACTATCCCAGTCTGCTAGCGGCTTATAGTCAAGTAAATAACTAAACTGCAATTTAAATGACAAGCATTATTGAAAAGCTTATTAAAATGTAAACACTCTAGCATTTAAACGTGCCATTTGGCACAGATAAGCATTTTTTCCATCAAGGATGTTTAAAGGAGTAAGGCACACTGTCAGAGGCTGTATAGATTGGCACAGCTTTTTTTTTCCAGTTTTATTGAGGTATAACTGACAAAATTGTAACTTACTTAAAGTGCAACTATTTTTATATTTGACAGCAACTATAAAAAATTCAAAATCAGCAGATGCTGCAAACAAAGCAACCACAATACTATGTACCTATTCTTTACTTGCATATGTGCCTCTCAAAATACGTACACTAAAATGTTAATGGAGCGCAGTTTGTAATCGCAACTTAAACGATCACCAAGAAGAAAATGGTTAAATAAACCATTTCAATTCATCCATCACACTATGCAGCAGCTACAAACAAAGAGGCAGATCTACAGCAACTAACATGGAAAGATTTCCAAGACATTACGCGAGTTGCAAAAAAATTTTTTTATAGTTTTTATAATCCCATTCATGTTTTTAGAATAACATGCTAGATTTCTTTGTGTACATATCTGTACGTAAACAAGCAGAAAAAACTCTGGAAGAAAACACTTTAAACTGATAACCTTTGTGGAAAGAAGTGACAGTCACAGGGGTGAGAGGAGTAACAAGATAAAGTAAACTTTCAGTTTTTATTCTACTTAATTCTTCCATAACTTTTACAAGTCTTTCCTCTATGTCCCTTCTCAATAAGGCCAACCCTGACCAATCCACTTAAAATTACAGCCCCTACCACACTACCATACCCTTCATCCCAATCTATTTTTTTCCATTACTCCTATATTCCATTGTAACCTCCACATAGACAGGAATTTCACTCTTTTTCCTCACCGATGTATCCCCAATACCTAAATAGTGCACATAGTAGGAATATATATATATAAAAATATATATGAATATAAATATACATATATTTGTTGAATATTTACATATTCAACCATTTTAATTCCCTTTATAATAGGTAAATAAAATACTTTCTGCTTCGCTTACAAAAAGTGATTTGGGGTGTTTTGCAAATCAGGGGCTACCCTTAAAAGCTGAAAGGACACAGGAACCATCATTGTAGCAGCTCCTAACACAGCTCAGGATACTGGAACGCCAACCTTGCAAAACAACTCACCTAAGAAACTGTGTAATAGCTGGTGGGGCTGGTTATTCCTAAAATTTGGTGGAAGTATTCACATTCAAACACACACATCTTTTCATGACAATAAGAACTCTATACGCTTCCTTAGTTACAAACCAGCATGGAAATAGACATATACCAATGGGAAATCAAATGAGTCTAGATACAGTGAAATGCCTAAGACTTTCAAACCCCACTCAGGAGGATCAATAGTGATACTTGATAATCAACTGACAGCGTGCTACACATTACTCTCTTTCACATCTAAATAGAAAATACTCCTGACAAAAACATAGTGCTATTATCCAAATAACACATCAGTTAGAGCAATTTCAACTAGCACATAGTAAGATATTGTCACAATAAATTTAACAAATCCTCATGAGGAAAGACCTACACCTGTCAGTGTGTTCTAGCAGGGCAGGATTCAGTGAATATCATCCAATGAAGATGTCCTGTAGTGAACCAATAACGAATGCTTTTTGAGTCAATAATGCTACTTGAACCATGTTATTTTGTTCTAAGTAGAACTGATGCTTTTAGTTAGGGACACTCTTAGAAAGAGATGAGAAACCTTGACTTTGTACTTCTAGATAAAATAGGAAAGTGGGCAAGAAGAGGGCAGAGTTCATGATACCTGGTTAAGATCATTCTAAAAACCCAGTACCATAGGTGTATAGCCAATATGTCCTACTGTGGAGCTCATCACCATCATTTCTAACAGAGGGGAATAATTTCCTTGCCAAGGCTTATATTTTATGTGTGAAAGGGAAAGATTAATTCATCTAATAAACATAGGAGGAAACACGATCTGAAGGAGAGTAACCAATGAGAGGCAAGCAGACTGAAAAATCCCTAGGAAAGGCCTACCAGTGTGGCATGAAGGATGAAAAGGAGACCAGAGGGCAGGAGGAATAACAGGGAAAGGAGTGGCTTGTAGCTCTGATGCTCTCTTCTTAGACAGTCCAGCTGGGTATTGCCACTTAAAACAGAATGATAAGATTTCCTCCATTTAATCAAAAGGAAATGTCTGCCAATTAAAAGAAAAGTTGGGATGGATATCATCTGTAACCCAAAGTCTTCTGTCTTCTTAATGAGAATTTATCTGGGTACACATTAATTACTAGGTCTGTAAAATACTGGGAGCTATTTAAATATGCTCAAACTTCCTCTAGGAGAATTAGCAAATCCTTTGAACTATAGTCATTATTAGTCATTAGGCATTAGGATAATTAACCAGATGGAGGAAGTAAAGTTAATCAAAAGATGACCAGTTCTCAAGGGGAAACTGATAAAAGAGTATCCCTTGCCTACTAAGTTACCCAGGAAGTTTAAAAATCAAGACCAACAGATTCAACCAAGAGCTGCTAACCATTTTAACGTCTGGCTTTATTGTAAACTAAAAATCTAGAAGAAACGTTCCCTATACCTACTGTTTTCTAAATGACAGTAATACGAGGAGTTAAGATTGAGTAGCTAGTCTGTGCGAAGGGCTCCACTGAGCGCCTTAGTACATGATTTCATCAATCCTCAGGGCAACTTTATAAATATTGTGATCATCCCCATTTGACAGAGGAGGAAACTGAGGCTCAAAGAGCAAAGTAATCTGCCCCAATTTATACAGCCCAAAAGTAACTCAGACAGAACAAGGACTTGTAAAGTCAATGTGCTTTTTCTTTTTTTTTTGACCGTACAAGAACAAAAGCTTGAAGTTTCTTCCCCAAATGGATCAATGAGACACTGATAGCAAGGGAGGGGATGAAGTGGCAAAAAAAACCTTAAAAATAAATAAATAACCACCACTCACCTCTGGATTTTCTTCTTTTACTCTTCGTGACTGTAAAACAATTACGTAACCATTAATACACATATAAAAAAATACTACAAAAGTAAAATTTACACGACTTAGCTAATCATTGTCAATGTCATTTACCTTTTCTTGAGAAAAAGCTGCTTTCCCTTCTTCACTTTTTTCATCCATCTCGTCGTCACTCCACTCCCAGTCACCGTCTTCGGTTTTATGAAGGTGACCGCTTGACCCAGGAACTCTTCTTACCTGAATCAAAACAAATCCATCCAATTCTTCACTAGCTGACTGTGAACAGCGTGTGCTGGTGCTGCTGCCTGGATTACACAGCACACATCTACCCTGAAAATAACCTAAGTGGTTATGAATTCAGCAGTTAGTACTCCAAAAGACTATACAGCCTCCGGACTCCCACATTCATCCTCTTTCCAAAGACACTGTGTTCTTGAAACATATTACTATACACATGTAGAACAAAATATTTTGGAAGAATACCACACACATCAGCCATTAAGGATCAAGCCCATTTTTCACTTTTGTTTCAGTTAACGCTATTAATTACTAGACATAAAAGCCCACACGGTAGGTTTCAAAATTGCCTAAAGAAATACATGCAAGCAACAGACTGCTGACTGAGGGAAGGCAGGGGACTCGGGCAGCCTAATGAAGCATACTATACTAGGGCTATCAGTGACCTAAAACTTAAGTCAAAAAAGCAAATACCCTTCTGTTGCCACCTTACTCTTTTTCAGAACCTGACATCATGCTTGTTTTCCCAGGATTCTGCTCAACCTACTTGAGCAAAATAAAGGAGCATCAGCCTGTTCTTAACACACCTTGTAGCACTTTTGAGGCTTGCTAGATTGCTAGGAACACAGCAAGATAATCAGCAGCAATGCCAGATAATCTAAACATTATAATCAGTCGTCTGCCATTATTTCAAAAATTTTTTGAACTAGAGTAGAGATGCAATCCATGGAGCATGCTTTTTAAACGTCTTTGTGGTTGAAAAAGCAAAACTTTTAAAAGGATAGGATGACTGAGAACGATGAGCCTCTGACCAAAGTAATTTGCCTGAAAAAAATCTACTGAGATGTAATTAAACAAAGCAATGTAGCACATGAACATAACAGCCAGTTTCCCACCGAATCAGAGAAACTTCGAGTTGAAAGGGAACTTGGAGACTATTTAGTCCAAACCTTTCATTTTACAGATGAGACGTAGGCCAGGAAAGTGACCCAAGGTCACATAGCTATAAAGACAAAATTAAGGCAAGAAAAAAAGCCCTCAGACACCCATTCAAATGTGAGTCTTCTTTTGCCATTGAATAATAGCTGTGAAAAAGTTGTCTAAAAATGTCCTGTGGGGCTGGCACGGTGGCACAGTAGTTAAGTGTGCACATTCTGCTTCTGGGGCCCGGGGTTCGCAGGTTCGGATCCAGGGTACGGACATGGCACCGCTTGGCAAGCCATGCTGTGGTAGGCGTCCCATATATAAAATGGAGGAAGATGGGCACAGATGTGAGCTCAGGGCCAGTCTTCCTTAGCAAAAAGAGGAGGATTGGCAGCAGATGTTAGCTCAGGGCTAATCTTCTGCAAACAAACAAACAAAATGGCCTGTGAAGACTGAAAGACTATGACATGAAGAAAGACTATTTTCCATAATGGAAACTATTGAGTTATATTACAGGAGCTTCACTGATCCCAAGAGAAATACCACAGCCCTTAAATGTAAAGTGCGCATTTACACATCAGATCAATGTGACGTCACAAACAAGGCAGGGTCATGCTTGGATTTCTTTTAAAGGCATACCATTTGGAACCTGTAAAAGGAGGCCTGACCACTTGTCTAGAATCTCTGAGCTCCAACATGGAAAGTTAAAGCAAGAAAGAAGTTCTTATTCATAATCGCAAACAGTTATGCTCAATTAAAAAAAAAAAAGCTTTTGTTCTCCACACCAAAAACATTTTTTAACTAATTCACCTTCAAAACACTTAGCACTTAGTAAAACCCCTTCAGCACTTGGCAGAAGATATTTTTTCCGCTTGCATTTTGAGTCATTGGAAAGACCCATTCTAATGATAGTGATTTTAATCGTGCTTATAGATGCTGGCAAAGCACTGTAGAAAAAAATGCTGAAATGCACTTCGAGATTTTCAGAACAGATTGCTCATTTTAAAGCTACAAAAGAAATGGAGAGAGGAGGAGACAATTTTCTGTTGACATATACAATAAAATTAATTATTTTCTTAGCAACACTAATCATGATGATAACAACAGAGAGGAAAATCTGTTAATGACTACATTTAAAATAAAGAATTTAAAGCCACATCTATTACAAAACATACCATTAACTACGAAGGGAGGAAACAAGTAAAATTGTGTATCAGAAGCAGAACAAAACTCTACCTTTACTGAAATTGTACAAACCAAGCATGGTTGATGAGTTGGTATTCTTCAAGTACTCATCCAAGAGATTACACTAAAGAAACCTCTCTTTCCAAAAATAGAGAGTGCCGCTTCACACTCTAAAATTTAGTTTATGCTTTTTCCTCTCGCTTTATGTTTACAAAACCTGTCAGTTTCGTTTCTACAAGCAGGATCCAACTACAGATAATAAAATAGCCATCTTCTTCTATTTCTACTTTATTTTAGAACCCTGGCTGTCTCCCTCTTAGTACTGTTTGCAGGAAGAGAGAAGACGAGCACAATGTCTAGGATCATAGCCTTGGACATTAAAAGAAATGGTGGGACGGGCCTTTAAGTAATAAATAGTGGTTGAACAAATAAATGTAGGAATTAAGACATTAAAAAAATCTATGTAGCGTAAAATACTGGTATAAGAGTATCGAGAATAAGAATACAAATTTGTTCATTAAGAACATCCTTTCAGTTGACTAGAAGAGAAAAAATTTGCAGCATAATTTGAAACCCAGGTTTCATGGTGTATTTGTGTGACACTGAAGAGACCAGAAAGCAATTTTACAAAGTTACACCTTTGCAGGGAGTTTGCAGGAAGAACAAGAAACAACTTCTACCTTTTAGAGCCAAGGCAACTAAGTTTCACAGAGTTTACCAAATGGGGTTCTTATCCAGGAACTGAAGAATATTCTATAAAATAAAGACTTCAAAAAAGGATGTGTAAAAGTTTCTATTCTCCCCCCTCCCCTACGATGGCGAGCATGGAGGTGATTCACCCTCAGAACTCTGACTGCAGCCCGTTACATTGCTTTTATTCTCCTAAATGATTTACTCACTTAGTAAAGCCAAGAGGTGGTAGTAGGAAATTTTTTCTGTCGATGGTTTAAAAAAATAACCCAATGCTTCTCAGAGAAATGAGTTCAATTTAAGTGATAGCTAGGGGTATTCATAAGCCCACAAATTCCTCAGGTCAGAGCCGGCATAGTGAGGTTACATAAAGCACACTATTTATTCCCAAGGCTGGGAATAAAAATACAATTGAGCAATTCTATTTATACCATACCTTTGAAAAGGAAAGTAATATTTTCTTGCCTTTCTTGAAAAAGCATCCTTATGAAGGTCCCTTAAAGAAATGAACTGAAGTTCTGATTCCCACAAGAAAAGAAGTCAGGTGCAGCCAGACTCATAGAGGAACAGTGTGGTTCGCTGGCTGGTTCTGGTGGCCACGGGGTCCGAGGTCAGAGGCAGAACTAAGATGGAGCAGCCAGGGAGAGGGAAACAGCTGACTAACCTTCCCAGTGGTGCCCCTCTGAACAGGAGCGTTCCATAAATATCAGCACCGAGGATCTCTGCACATCTCAGGTTGCCACCTGGCCCTCGACAGCAGAACAGGAAGAAGGAGAGCATGAGAGCCCACAGATGCCTTTTCTATACAGGGTGTTAAATATGTTAGAAATTGAAGTGTGTTTCTCTAACACACTCCTAAAGAAAGGATGAATGTGACCCAAAGAAATACTGACCAAAATTTAGTACCATTTGTCCAACCAAATCTTGCATGCTCCCTCTCTTCAAGGCAGTGGCCCGGTGCTTCCACTCCCACATTAACTTCTCCCTGGAGATGGGATTTTGGAATCTCCTTGGAATGATTTTCCCCATCACTGGGAATCCCGCACTCCACTTCTCCACTTGCTGAACATACTACATGCCTGACTCCAGCCTGAACCCGAGTGGTCCAGGGAACCCCTCATCTCACGTCTGCCACTGAGCACGTACTGGACATGGCAGAAAGCAGCACTCAGTAAGTTTTCTCTTATCAGGCATTCTAGTGACCAGAAGTATAAAAAAATGTTTCTAATCAATTGCTGTTTATACTGTCCTTGAGGCACTGCCAAGCAAACAAAAAGCCTTCTAAATCATCAAAAATTAACAAATAAAATTAGATTGAGTAAGGTTTCAGCAGTAAATATTTTACTGTCCCCTTGTCTTACACTCTGACATGGGCCCCTGTGGCCACCACCTCTCTCAGCACCTCTGTCCCACTTCTACTGCCTTTGGTCCTCTCCTGCCTCTTTCATCAGCCCCTCCTGGCTTCACCCCCATTATATAAGGCCTGGAGCCCACAGCTGCCTCTCTTGATGCTGTTGCACTTACCAGTAACCCACACCACCATGCCCCCTCCAGTCCAATCCACACCTGAGAGGAAAGCAGCAGCCTGAGCCCAAACATCCATTCTCCATTCCTGAGGCAGTGGAGAACAGCCATGTTGCCTGGTGCCACTACACGTGATCACTGACCACTCTGAGTTGGGCATCAGTACTGCTACAACCCTAACACTCAAAGTGTGGTCCCTGGACCAGCAGCAACAGCATCACCTGGAAGCTTGTTGGAACACCTCAGACCAACTAAATCAGAATCTCTGTTTCAGCAAGATCCCTAGGTGATGCATACTCTCGCTCAGGTTTGAGAAGCGCTGTGCTAGACAACACTGTCACTCATTGCTAGCCTATTCCCTCTCCCCATCCCATGATATCCAGCTGTTATTTATATAACAAGAGAGACTGCGCTCTGAGCACTTTAAAGACATTAACTAATTTAATATTCATGGTAGCCCCGTGAGCTGAGAATTATTTTATTCCACCATTTTTCAGAGGGAAACCTGAGGCGCAGGGAAGTTAAACAACTGGCTCAAGCTCGTACAGCTGGGAGAGACAGTGCTCAGAGGAGACCAGAAGTCTGCCTCCAAGTCTCCATTGCCAACCCCTGCCACTCCTGCTCACCGAGTGCCCCTTCTCACCTAGCCCCAATCACTTCAAATTGTTTCACCTGCT